TGGATCGCATTGCAAATGAGACTGTCTTTGAACAAAATTACGGGACTAAAACATTGCGCGATTCAACGCCAACTTCAAAATATTATATTACTCAACACTTTCAAGCACTGAAGTGCGATTTCGAAAAGGGGTAACACTTTTGAATAATGAAAGTGAAAAATTGAAAAATACCTGTTGATTAATGGACGATAGAATCGCCACGCGGGAACGCGACAATGTATTCGTTACTTTTGATCTCTCATTATGCAAACATTTCTACTCAAAATATAAAGCATATCAGAAAATAAACTCTTACGTTCCCAATCTTATTCTGTCTCTAATTTTCAAGACAGACAATTATTATTCTTTACAAATAATGGAAAATGTTACTGTTCTATAATGTACATTGCAGGTCACGCACGAGATCATCACGTAGACGAAGCGTGGGAAAATAGCTGACTGATACATTGTTGATTCTACTTGCCTTTGATATATTATTAGCTTCCCTAGCGCATCAATAAAATGAACAGCCTAAACTTAAAAATAGGATTTGGATTTTTTCTGTTCATTTCAAAATCGAAATGACGATGTTCTCACCACAAGCATAAATTTAAATTGCGATTACTTGCCGCCAATTCATCAGTTGAACCAAAAATGTTGGATTCCAGAAAATATTTGAAATTAACTTGTCTGTCATTAGCCACGGTCCCAATAAGTTTATTGTAACATCCAAATACCAGGTTCACAAATGTTTAAATGAACAAAATGATCTTATGTTATTAAACGCACTTTTGAAATGTTCATTCATTTCGCTTATATTATCAAATGTTATACGTCAGTTTTTCAGATGAGGAATATCATAGTTTAACTTCTAATCACAGAGTTAGTATGGAAGAAATGAGAAATGAGAGCAAGCATAGTGTGGTATTATGTGCAATATATCGATGTTGTCTTGTAGAAAAGATCTATTTAATAAATTTGTATTCTTTTCGTTTATAAAAAATATTTATATCTCGAATTCATCTTCGATAATATAAATGTATGTGGCTTCAACTTTCTCGCATTTTTTACAAATTCGTTTGTCAGTATGGGTCAGATTTGGGTTTCGTAACTTTCCAGTAAATTGTATATGTTCGTACATTATATTACACGCATTTTACTCCTAAACAATATATTCATTTCAAACTAAGTGATTCTGCATTGTATCATGATGCTAGAAGATACGGACTGAGGGGTACAATTAAGAACGTATTTAGTGGTATATAGAAGTTCGAAGCTCATATCAATTTGATTTCTAAAAAACAAACCTTGACAATTATTATATCCGTAATTCTGTCAACTTTCAAAATTATTTGTGGAATTTGGAGATAAAACACGACATAAATGTGGGTGTCTGAGTGTGTCAACAGTAACATTAATCCAACCCCACGATTTGCAATGGCCCTTACAGAACGTGGATTACATATTTTGACGCGAAACCCACCCTGGTGTTCCATTAAATTAAATAATTCAATGTCCGAATGCGAAATGCACACTATGACAAACAGTTTGCTGAGTGACCGAGCTACAACTAAAAGGTAGCCTTGTTTTACAGAATATTTTTTAATATTTCCGGACGATCAAATGTCTGATGGCATCATAAAGAGTTTGTACATCTGATGTCTTGAGTGACAGGTGGTATATTCTACAGGACAAACTATTGACATTTTCTCTTTACAGGTTAATATAAAACACTACTAAAACAACGCAGAACAGAATGTTCATGAGAATCCGACTTCGTGATGTTATTCTCGTATGCCCGTTAGTTTGGGTGATACACTTAATGCTCTATATGCCTGTTGAATCTAGAGGTATGAAACTAAGTCATTGTATGAGTTATGTGTGTAAGTTGATTATTACGACTTTAAAACTTCACACCATGTTATGAAATTGGAGACAATGTAAGACAATAAAAGGCATCACCCAAAGGTTGAATAATTTACGTGCTCATGTATTGGGAACTACATTGTATGATTGGTTTTGGGGCACTTTAGTATTTAAGGTTTAACCTGGTATTTTGTTTATCTTTCCATTGTAAAAAAACATATACATTATGACGTTAGGCAGTGTTTTACCCTCTTCCAATCGCAATGAACGAAATTCTAAATACATTAATAATATTTAAGTTATTATGCGGGTTAGCTGTGTTGGTAAGCCACTCCAAATTTCCAAATATTCTTCATAGTCTTTATATTCAAATAAGCATTACAGAATATATTTCATTATAAAGTCTATGTTTCTTCCTGCATGCTAGAACTGATAGTAAATTGAAACATCGATTATTCTTTTGATATCTGAACTTATTCTCTTTTTTATTGTAAAACAGATTTGTGAACTCGTTATAATGTCACGTCGATGGTTCATTTAAAC